GCGTGCGTGAGCGCCTGAGCGAGTAAGTGAGTGAGGGAGGGAGCGAGCGGGCGAGCGATTGACGGACCGACGAATGGATGGATGGCTGGGCGGATGCATGAATTAATTGATTGATTGTTTGGTTGGCTGAGTGAGTGAGTGAGCGAGAAAGTGAGTGAGTGAGCGAGCGAGTGAAGTGGAGTGGAGTGGAGTGGAGTGGAGTGGAGTGGAGTGGAGTGGAGTGGAGTGGAGTGGAGTGGAGTGGAGTGGAGTGGAGTGAAGTGAAGTGAAGTGAAGTGAGTGAAGTGAAGTGAAGTGAAGTGCGGTGAAGTGAAGTGAAGTGAAGGAAGTGAGGTGAGGTGAGGTGAGGTGAGGTGAGGTGAAGTAAAGTGAAGTAGTGAGTGAGCGAGTGAGTGGAGTGGAGTGGAGTGGAGTGGAGTGGAGTGGAGTGGAGTGGAGTGGAGTGGAGTGGAGTGGAGTGGAGTGGAGTGGAGTGGAGTGGAGTGGTGTGGAGTGGAGTGGAGTGGTGTGGAGTGGAGTGGAGTGGAGTGGAGTGGAGTGGAGTGGAGTGGAGTGGAGTGGAGTGGAGTGGAGTGGAGTGGAGTGGAGTGGAGTGGAGTGGAGTGGAGTGGAGTGGAGTGGAGTGGAGTGGAGTGGAGTGGAGTGGAGTGGAGTGGAGTGGAGTGGAGTGGAGTGGAGTGGAGTGGAGTGGAGTGGGAGTGGAGTGGAGTGGAGTGGAGTGGAGTGGAGTGGAGTGGAGTGGAGTGGAGTGGAGTGGAGTGGAGTGGAGTGGAGTGGAGTGGAGTGGAGTGGAGTGGAGTGGAGTGGAGTGGAGTGGAGTGGAGTGGAGTGGAGTGGAGTGGAGTGGAGTGGAGTGGAGTGGAGTGGAGTGGAGTGGAGTGGAGTGGGTGAGCGCATGTTTGACCTCACCCCTTTCCCAAGTGGCCATGAGACAAAAGGATGCCCCTTCGGGGTTGGTTGATTTTTGAGGCAAGCTCAGCCCTAATCCAAAGCATATTCAAGAGGTCTATCCAAGATCATGTAAAGAATCGAACGGGTGGACATCACCAATGGTTCGACGCCGGGACTGCTATTAAGTGTTCATCTTCCCAGATTTCGAGGAAGGGCTCTCGATCTCAGCCAAGCTTCGGGCATAGGCCAGCTCAGGTGTCAGCCCAGCCCCACGCGGCTGCTTCGCAGGCGACGCCACGAGAGCCTCTGCTCCTGGGAGAGGCCACCTCCAATACCTCGAAATTCAACTAGTTAAGCACGGCTTGTTTGTGCTGTAGTAATATCGGTAGTCTGAATTATGTCAAGTTTCCCCGGCTTAAACACGACCCCCCCCACTGTTTCGGTACCATGATTTATGTGAAGTTCGAACCCCAAAAAAATCCCGTTGAAAAAATCTGACTCAAAATTCGCAATATGGGCAACTGATTTCTCGTCTCAGCTTCCTGGCTCAGTCCCAGTAGTGAAACTCTGCAAATCTTTGGTTGCTCAACCTGAGACGCTGTGGGCTTCAAAATCTAAAAGCTTAGCAAGGGACCAGGCCAAGACATGAGCCTCTGAATTCCTGATTTGACCCTAAGCCCCAACCATCAAAATTATTTACTTAAATCCATCCAAAAACAAGCCCCAAACAGTCCTGCAAAGGGGGTTGCCCACAAGGGGGCCTGATCCTCTTTAAGGGGCACTGTTTGGGTACCATGTTTAATGTCCAGTCTTAGGCGTGGGCGGGTTAGGTTTCTCCAGGTCACATCTTAGCTCTTTCTTTTAAAAGGGGCTCCAAATCTAAAAGCTTAGCAAGGGACCAGGCCAAGACCTGAGCCTAAGAATTCCTGATTTGATCCCAAGCCCCAACCATCAAAATTATTTACTTAAATCCATCCAAAAACAAGCCCCAAACAGTCCTGCAAAGGGGGTTGCCCACAAGGGGGCCTGATCCTCTTTAAGGGGCACTGTTTGGGTACCATGTTTAATGTCCAGTCTTAGGGTGGCAACCCAAAAGGAAGTGCAATACTAAACCAAGTAGTGGCAGCCAAAAATGAAGTGCTGGCAATATAGTGGCAACCCAACAGGAAGTGCTGGCAATACGAAACCAAGTAGTGGCAATCCAAAAGAAAGTGCTGGCAATACTAAACTCAGTAGTGTCAATACCAAAGCAATACTCAAGTCACCCAAGCCCCCCGCCAAATCCCTATTCAGGATCCCCAGGAATGTTCTGACTGTTTCCGGGGGGGGGGAGGGGGGACCCCCACAGTAAACAAGGTCCAACATTACTAATCAATCAAGGTGACAAGATAGAAGTGTGGCCACACTCTTGTGTTTGACGTGTGGTCCTTTTGAATTGAAGCCAGTGTGTGTGTGTAGGATTGATCAAACATGTAGGATGAGCCTGGCGACATCTGGGGGGCGGGAGACCTAGTGTTCACTTGCCAACCGGGCATCTTGGCCTCGCCATCTTGATGACCCTTGAAAGCAACAAATGGGCAACTCTTGGCAAATGTGAAGTGAACAAACTGGGCTGTGTCTTTTTTATCGAGGAGATCCCTTTCAAGTTTGGCTCAGAAGAAATCCAAAGGCAAGCCATTCACTTCGGCTCTTCAATGACCCTAGAGAAAGAATTGGATGAGGAAGCTACGGATTTTGAGGGTTGAACAACTGGGTTAGCCACCTGGGTCGCAACCCACTAACATGGAGTTGACCGCATCAGATTACTAACTTGGCCGAGCACCCAACTGTGTCAAAAAAAGGCGGGACCTACCAATGGTAGTTGTCCTTTCGTTTTGCTGTTGAACCGACAAAAGGGGCGCCATGCCAAGACACACAGGCACACGCGCACACACACACACAAGTAGGGTTCCGTTTCCCCCGTTTGAGGAGTCCAACTCTCCCTCTCCCCCGCTCGAGCCTCGGTTCAAGGCCTCCTGCAGTCGCTTCAGCGCAGCGCGCCCGGCTTTGGCTGGCCTCGAGAACGTGACGAGATCTAAGCCCAACCTTGGGTATTAGAGCAACGTAGGGCCAAACGGCTCCGACCTCCTGCAAGAAGTTGACAAAGGCTGGCTGGGGAAAGTAAAGGACAACCAAAAGGGCAAAAGTGAAGTCTGGCAACGTGCATCTCAGGGGTTATACATCGAAGTTCCCCGGTCTAAGTCCGAATGGATCTTGGTCCAAGCCACATCCTAGAAACCTGAACTGGATCTGGGTATAGGAGCTCGGGAAAAATTGCCCAATTAGACTCAAGCCCATTTGAAACCGAGGTAGCCACGCGACCTTGGAAGCCCTCGCAATGCTTCGCCTCCCGCACACTTTGCTTCTTTTCTATCTCCATTCGTATGTCCTGCGTCGTAGCGTATTGTATGACGTCTCCTTGACGCTTTCAACTTTGTATATTTCGGAGGTTTCCCAACTAAAAGTCCTTTGAATAGTCACTATGAGTCACTAGCCATTCGGCTGCGATGGCTCGGGAAAGCCCGCGATAAGCCCGCGGCGTCCGCGGCGAGGCGGCAGGCACCACGCCGGCCTTGGGCAAGAGGAAACGAAGCACAGTGATTTCCATCACAGAAGTCTAAGAAGCTCCCAAACATCAGCTGACACAGGTCCACCATCTGATCGGGCCCAGACGTGCCGGAGCACGTTCAACTACGTCTGCTTATGAAGGCACGGGATGTAATACTGTAAACACGTGCTATGTTGTAGCTACAAGCTTCCTCGGAGCTTCCGCGTTTCGAACCCTACACAAACGGCCAGAAAAAAGAAAACGTCAAATCCAACAAATTATCAAGGCACGGGTTTTGGAACGACTCAGAGCTGCACGACAGAAAGGCTCAGTCCCAGCGCTGGCATCGCGAATGTGTGCGCTGATTTTCTCGCTGAAAGTCTGCTCGTTGAAGCTCTAGAGCCATGATATGGTTCAATGGGATCGGTGAAACTTGTGCTCCTTCGAAACTTACGCAGCAACCTAGCTTCTTTGCTTGGTCAAAATCAAGGGCACCTGGCAACCGTGCTGAGGCTCGCCATGTTGATTAAAACGTAGCCTCATACAGTATCAGTGAAACTTGCGTTCTGTCAGAACTTCTAGCACAACCTAGCATTTGCTTGGTCAACATTCAAGGATGAACTATCGCTTAAGATAGCGGAAATCGGTGAAAATTGAAGTCCTCCGAAGAGCATGTCTTCGTCTACATCCGACATGAAACGCCGTCGCACAAGCCACTTCGATACTGAAGGTAAATCATGACGATCAAGAACGCTGCCCAAGCCACAGACGGCCACAGCCCCGCCCAGACAAGGACCACGACTTCCCCGCCAACAAATGACCAGCAAACATAGCCGGCGAAATAGATGAAACACGTTGTTGCATAGTCCATGGCCCGGCAAGAGCGCTGCGCAGAAAAGATTTCAGTTAAGCGCCATGTCAACTTCGTCCCCAGCAGGAACCAAAGCACCGCCCAGCCGATGTCGTTGGCAAAGAAACGTGGAAGCAGGTCCACAACCGAGACACCGGCCATAGAACAACCCAGCAAAGCGTCCAAGGACACGCTGAAGAATGGCAAAACCATAAGAAAGGAATATTGAACCGGCAGGTCAGCAGTTGAAGCCAAAAGCTCCTTCTTCAAAGGTCCCCTCACGTGCTCTGTGAAAGCTTCCTCACTGCCATACCAATCATTGATTGACTTGTAGATGAATTCCCTGTCCTTCTCCAAGCGACTCTGCACATTGGACAAGCTGAAATGCTGCAAGTCGGAGATCAAAGTGTCTTTCTCCCTCATGTACAAGCGGTTCCTATGGGATATGAACAGGAAAGGGCTGCTTGCCACGACGTATACTACAATATAAGCTGCTGAGTACAGGAGGCCAGTTGAAAGCCAAGCGAAGGTGATGGTGGCACAAAAGACTGCTCCGAGCATGTAGCACAAGGCCTGGAGTTCGACAAACAAAGGCCGAACTACGATACGGCCAGAAGGATTTGCTTTCCGAAACGCGGCTAATTCATAGACACACCACAGCCTCGACAAGTAGGGCGCGCTCCAAAGAATATGCATCTCCTTTGAAGCAGCAAGGAATCCACCCAGCCCGTAGACACCTCGCTTTTGTAGGTCAAGGTCCACTTGATGTATACTCACCACATCTAAGAAGCAAACAGGATCAACGCGCCAAGGTACGTAAGGCGAAGCAAAAAGACCCAAAACAGTAGCAGCTGCAGTGAACAGCAAAGTCCAGGGGGCCCAATTCACCTGGACATCAATGTCCCCCACAGTCACAAACCGTTGAAAAGGCAAGGGCAGCACCCCAAGCAAGACAAGCGATGCTGCTGCAGCAGCTGCCAGCACGTAGCAAAGCAGCATGAAGGGCCAACCGTTTTGCAGGAGAAGCGCAAGGAGCTTCAACCTGCCGGAAGTCCACCAGGTGTGCGAAAGGAAGCGATCCAAGCTTTCCACAGGCTGTGACTGTTCCCAGAGCAAGCCACGAGCGGATTCTTTCAGATCTGCAGGGGAGGTCAGCCAGAGAGCCCCCAACCGGCGCAGGGTCCTGGACAGCCGGATTCCTCTTAAGACGTCTTTGTCTACCACCAATTGCGACTTGCTCTCCATCCGCGCACGGCGGAGGGACATTGAGCTGCCCACATGCGACACAGCCGCGTTCGGCGCTTCCTCATCTACCCCCTCCTCTGCTTGAGTGTCTTGGACCGACGGCTGGGCACTCACGACTTCCACCTCCGCCTTTCCTGAAGCAGAGCAGCAAGATTGTCGCGAGCCCATTGCGCAAAATATGAGAACATGCGGATCTCATAAGTGGCAAAGACTGGAGCCGACAGCGTGGGCGATGGTGCTGTGAGATCAAGCTGCATTCGCACAACTCTTGCATCGGCCTCAAACGTGCCAAAGCCGCGAGGTACCGAACCCGGAACCCAGCCGCATGCATTCAACAGGTAACCACATGTCCTGTGCAGTCCCCTACACAAGAAGAGTCGCCGTCGAGTTCTCCTGCCGAACATTGCAAAATCTGTTCTTGGATAACTTCAGGAGCATCTAAGCACATCCTCCCCACACACCCGGCGTGCCTTGCGCACGCCAACCACTGCATCTCCCCCAGAGGCGCGTAGTTCGGCAGCGCATCGAAGGGTTCCCTGGCTCATGCTCCCATAGCAAGCGTTTGCAAAGCCAGGGCAACGCACGTGCCATCTTGATCCACCTTGCTGTTTGTTGAGCAGGAAGAAGCCCTTTGAATTTCCACGACCTAATGCTGGGCAATTCCACAGCAAATGTTGTGCTTTGGAGGGCGCCTGTTCTGCGAACAAGGCAAGCTGTTCCCCTCTAAAAACTTTGAAAAACACCCCGACCAAAGGACTCCTGCCCAAACTGTGGCTTCATCATGGGTAACAATCACTTGGAAAGCTGCAGCAGGGTTATCTTTTCGAAGATTAGAAAAGTTTGGATACAGTCGCAGGCAAACGCAGCGGTAGCGATGAGAGAAGGACGTGTTTCTTCAAACGCAGTCTGTGCGAATTCAGTCTATTGCAATGAATGAAGGCCTCTCAGAAACAACAAGCTGAGGCTGCACGTGAACACAGTCTCAAATTAACAGTTGGCTTTTCTTCCCGGCATTGCCTGTTCTCAGCATCCCGGCCAAATATTTGTTTATGTCGCTTGCAACCTGAAGTAGTTGAAGCAGCACAATGCGGCAACAAATCCAGGCTGTGTCTCTTGGTGAAAACTGTCCTGTCCAAGTCCAAAACTCGCCGGCTCCCACATGTCAGGATACCTGAGCTGGATTTGGCACTCCCTTCTGCTCCAGTGCAAATATTTGCGCATAATCTTGCGCCTTTGCCAGGCACACAAATGGCAACCCAGCGATTTCCCATTGCACCGCACATCCTCGAATGTCAGTTGGATGCAAGTGCTGTCCGGCCCAGGGTTGACTTGAAGCGAGTACCACCATTTGTCACCAAACTGGGCTGTTCACGTGGGGATCCTTCATCCAAAACCTACGGTGGTCTGTGTACAAGGGAAACCACTGCGATCTTGCATACATATTGAAGGTCACAGGGTGCTATTCCCTGAGCTCAAATCCATAGCCCGGCCTTGGCCGCCTCAGCTGCAATGGGCTGCAAGACCGAAGTGTCAGCCTTCGCCTAAAATGGACCACCGCCACCACCACCACCAACAGCAGCAGCAGCGGCAACCACCAACCAACCGACCGACCGACCGACCCACAAACAAACAAGCAAGCAAGCAAGCAAGCAAGCAAGCAAGCAAGCAAGCAAGCAAGCAAGCAAGCAAGCAAGCAAGCAAGCAAGCAAGCTTGCAAACAAACAAACAACCACCAACCACTTCAGAGGGGTCCCCTTTTAAACTCACAGGCAGTTAGTCTTTTTGCACGCACAAACCAAAGAAACACACACCCATTTTGGGGGGTCGCCCCTTTTTTGCCCAAACCGAGGGTGACCAATGAACCGCGTTGCCTGGACAGGTTCGAAGTGCCTCCACCTGCGAGCCGAAATCGGTTTGTCGATTCGGC